CTTAGGGAGGTGAGACACAAGTTATGAAGTCATGTCTCTTCAGTATCGCTGCCTCAGCTTCCTAAGATCATGGGGGAAAATTCCTCTGTGATATTCAAAGTCTATTGAGAAACATAGAGCTGTGCTTTCATCACATCATTGTGAAACACCTCTTCTAAAATGTACAACAGCACAGATGAATTTTAAAATAATCTGCAGCAAAATTCATGCAGATCACATATTTGTTGTCTTTGAAACCAGTAGGGACCCATCCTCCTGATCAAACCTAGATGTCAATATTTATAACAATAACAGTACAAATCAAATTCATTGTCCCCTTGCAAAAAAAAGCAAATGTCAAGGGGGAAAAATGGTTATTGAAATTGTGGGGAAAATAATCTGTGGTAGTATTTTGTGGGAGCCATAAGGCAGGTCCCCTGTGACTCTTTCCTCTTCTGCACTCTGAATTCCCTTATTATTCTGCATTTCACATACACCAGTCTTTGTTCTTGCGAACAGGAAAAGGGAATCCCCTATGGTCCATGATAGAGGAGGAAGTTCTTCCTACTATTTTCATCTTTACTAATTCAGAATGCAATGAAAAAATATTTTTAAAAACTTTAGTTTAGCTAACCTGAATTACAGCAGTACCGCTTTTTACCTGAAATTATTTCAGTCCTGGTCAATGCACCTTGGACTTCTAACAAATTAATAAATAAGAAGCCCACATAGAAAAATGGTGTTTTCAAAGGAATGGTTTCACTGAAACACCAACATTCTGGGAGTGGTCATTGTGAAGTGCCAACAAGCACTGGTAAGTACTTTGCTTTTTCATTACTATTAGATGAAGATATGTGAGAGGAATCCAGCCCACCACCTCTAACAAACAACCCGAGATGTCCCCAAAAATATTTTGTATTAGTTATTATACTAATGGGCAATTTAGTTATTATAGTATGAGAAGTGAGTACAATTCAATTTCCTTTTAACTTTGTTTTGCCTCTTTTAATTGATTTTTTTAATTATTGCAGTAGTAGCATTGCTCAGCACTCACACTGGCAATAGTTTAAAAAAATATTCCCTTGTTTTCCAGATTCTTCATAAAGGCCTTTCCTTGGCCTTTATACCAAGGGTGGCATGAATAAATCTCAAAAACTCTATTGCAAGAGATACTACAAGCCATCTATCTTCCATGTCACATTAAAAACATCTGTAGGACACAGGAGGTAGGTGGGATGTGTCACAAAAGCTAAGTTCAACTTCCAACAAGCCTTAGGATGCCTTTAGGAAATTACAGAGTCCAGGAAAAGCAATGGGTGGCATGAAGCCTTACTTACCTCATTTCCTCGCCTAGCCCTTGCATTACTTTGGGTAAAACCATAGTATCCACCAGCCACACTTGAAAACTCCTACATCACCCTCTGAACAGACTCAGAATTGCAAAGAGATTTCTCTTGAAGAACTGCTGGGCACAGCCCAAACAGCCCAGGAAACCGAGTCCAAAATAGGTTTATTTCTTGCTGAAATTGGCATCCCTGATATGTTTTTAGGAGCCATCAGAAAATACTGCTTTCTGAACCACATTCCTTGAAAACAGTGCTTTATTTTTAGAGAGTTTTCAAATATTAAATGTATTCAAATATACCCAAACCCAAACAGCTTGCAAAAATCAAGACAGAATATCACAGCAGTTTATTAGAGAAGGTGATGAGTGTTAGATAACAAGTGATCCATTAAATATTTTGGTCTTCAGTGTAATGAATACTTCAAAACAGTCACATGAAAGTTAACAGTCACCATAGAAAGTGGCATATGCTTACACAGGAGGAACAACAGGAAATGCATTTAACACACTTTATTAGTAAAATCAAAAAGGCATTGAAATTCCAGCATGTTAGCATACTCACAAACTCAGTGACTTTGCAAGAATCAAATGACTTATTAAAAGCTCAGTTCTTGCAGAAACAGCTCCTTCTTTAATTATTTGTGTTCTTTTTAGTTTTAAAAACCTTCTTACCCATGTAGTCTATGTCACGGCCTTGAAATTCCTTTTTCTCATGAGTGATCCCAGATTCGCTTCGTCTCTACATCACAGTGTCATCTTAGCCACAGACCTGTCAAGTTTTCCCTTTGTAAGGGTCTCATAACTAATGGACTACCCAAGAGACTTGCAACTCCAACATCTCATCCACTTCACAAGTGTGCAAAATAATAAACTTGTGTGCTAAAGAATTAATGCACTTAACATCACAAAGAACCACGGACCTCCCTCTCAAAATTTATCATTAAACTTTTGGTTCCAGAATCACTTCTGTTATTCCAGATATACCTATACCTGTTAAAGAAATAAAGAAATATTTTTGACAGGCATCTCAGAATCATGTTCCTGGGTTAATAATTCAGCATTAAACGATGTGATGTAACAGACTGTCACATAATCCTCGAAGGTCACGTCTCACTGTTATTTAGAGCCTTTAAGTGAGACAGGATACTAGTTTTAGTAAACATGCAAATATGCTTTATTTCATGCAGATATGCTTTTGGTTTTTATGGAAAACCTCTCCACTCTGTGATGGCTGTGACAACCTATTCTGGAACCATGGATGTAAGCCTTTCTCTCTCACCCATCCCTTCTGGAGCCTGAGGATGCTGATGATGCACACAAGGATAGCAGCCATTAGCTCCACATTAGGAAAACAACCACAGCTAAAACTCATGCTTCAAGCATCACTTGTATTTATCAAGTGCCTTCATAAGCTTTGACTCAACAGCTTTGAGGACTGGATGGGATTTCCTCTGGCCATGCTAGGAGAAGTTTGCTATCCCTGCTTCCCATGGTGCAGTGCACCAACATCTAGCAACCTTTAGCTGTACAGTCACAGCAGACAAGAACCTTCCCATTCTATGCAAAGAGCGCTGAGTTTTGACAAGAGGAATATTCTTTCCCATCCTGGACAGTGATTAAAATGTGACGGTGATGAACAGGAGATTGGGCATAATCTCAGCAAAATCTATGAAATGTGTCTTGGCTCTGGAATCCGAGTGCATTTACTTGTTCTTCAAAGAGTTTGGTTACTGACTTCTCAGTCACTGTTCACTAATTAACAGGACAAATGAATGTGACAATTGGCTCCCACTGCACTTGCTTGAAGATGACACCTCTAGGAAAGGATCAGTTACATTTATTAACAAGGAACAGTTGGATCAGGTGTATTGGGGCTGGCTGAGGATGGAGTGCCTTTTCCCACAGTACCCTCACAGTGCTGTGCTTTCTATTTGTAACTAAAAAGGTGTTGATAACACACCAGTGTTTTGGCTTCTGCTGAGCAGTGCTGGCACAGCATCAGTGCTGTCTCTCCAACATTCTGCCTCCCTTCAGTAGTCTGGGGGTGGCAAAATCTTGGGAGCAGACTCAGGCAGGACAGCTGACCCCAACTGATGAGAGCTATTTCATACCATGTGAGTTTGGCTCAGCAATAAAAACTGAGAGAGAGGAGGAGACTGAGGCAGGGTATTCATTATTACAGTGCTTTGTTTGGCTCAGCAATAAAAACTGAGAGAGAGGAGGAGACTGAGCCAGGGTATTCATTATTACAGTGCTTTGTCTTCTAGGGCAATCTGGGCATCACCTGCTTATTGGGAGCAGAGAATAAATCTTCTGTATTCCTTTGCTTCTGCACACAACCTTTGCTTTAGCTTTTATTAAACTGACTTTATCTTGACCCACAAGTTTTTGCCATCTTACTTTCTTCCTCCTCCATCCTGCTGAGGGCAGAGAGTATGATAGAGGGACTTGGTGGTGTCCAGCCAACATCAGTTGGGTGTCAGCCCACCAGGTCAGAAAATCTGGTTTGCTTTGTAAGAGGTATGAGACTGTAGGCTGAGGAAGTTAGAGGCTGTTATACATCTCTCTTGGTTATAACTAAAAGCTGAGTTTTTAGCCATGTTTCTACAGTCCCATGTCACTGTATCACTCCTGTGAATCCATCACAAAAAATAAGGAAATGCTGCTTCATACCACATCTGTGTTGTAGGTGATAACATGGGGTGAGGTGACATCCCCAAGGGGAAAATGGCAAAGGGGCAGTGGCACCTCTGCAAAGAAGCACTTCAGTCATGGAATTGTGTAACAAAAATTTAGGTCCTACTTGGCTTTTTCTTTTCCCTATTTTCACTGTGTCCTAATCCAGCCCCATAATATCTTGCAGTTCTAGTTCTCCTCCTGGATTAATAAAACTGCATTTTCATGACTGCAGTTTTCTCATGACTTGTCAGTTTTTCTAGGTTCTAACAGACAAACATGACCAACCCAATGCTTCCTCAAATATCCATGGCATGGTTTTTTACATTTTAAGGATTCATATTCTCCAGAGAAATCAATGAGTTCTGCAGTACCTCCTTTTATGTAGCTGTAGAGAGCAATAAGGTCCTCCTGGGCCTCCTTTTCTCCAGACTAAACAATCCCAGCTCCTTCAGTCGCTTCTCATCAGACTTGTGCTCCAGACCCTTCCCCAGCACCACTGCCCTTCTCAAGACATGCTCCAGCCCCTCCTCGTCCTTCTTTTAGTGAGGGACCCAAAACTGAACACAGTACTTAAGGTGTGGCCTCACCAGTGCCATGTACAGATGGCTGCCCTGGTCACTCACACATATAAATACATCAGAGCAGTTTCTCAGAGAGGTACAAGGTCAGGTTCATAAGAGGCTGCCTTAATGCTCTTTCCATCTGTGCTGTTATTTTACAGAAATAAACGCATAAGGCTTAAGTGTGGAAAACATATTATGGAATCCAGTAAAATTTTGAAGAAGACATCCAATACATCTGAAATATATGTACTTCTATTCTGTTCTTTGTCATTTCACTGCTATCCATACTGATGTGCTGAGCACAAGTTCAATGTTCATTGACATTCAGCAATGAAAAACCATTAATCAAACCTTATAAAGAAATAAGGGAAATGTAGAAGCCATAAAAAAGACAAGTTTGACTTCTCCAAATTTATTTTCTTCCTCTATATAAATCAGAGTTCAGTTCCCACTAATTGTTGTGGGTTGAATGTAAAAGGTATGGCTAAGCAGCCACTGAATGTTTGAGCTTATTTCAAATATTTGGACATATTTGGTAAGATTTTCAGACCCTGCTCCTTCTCTGTCTCTTCTGCTCTGTGGGAAGGCTGTTTCTTAACAGCTTGACAGCCCTCTTTAGATTTACCCTGAATTGAGTTGAAGTGGGTACAGGACACAGCTGGGGCTCTGAGCCAGCCTTACTTTCAGGGCTTTAGTTAATCACTTTCCTTCCCTTCCCTCTTATCCAGATGGCTCATAAATGACAGAGAAATGACATTTAATATCTTATCTGCATTCTTTATAAGTAGTAGATTGGGAGTTCTTGGTGTCATTCCTGACAGAAGAAAGGAATGCACATAGTAAACCCTGTACCATCACTAGGACTATATTTTTAAGTTGAAGAACACTGTGTTATCCATATCATCTCTGAGATTATCTTTCTTCAATATTTCTTCAGTTTTTGCCCTCAGATGAAGCTGATTTAATGCAGAAATTAAGAAAGTTTCTTCTAGCCAGTGATAGGTCTATTAGAGGGAGACACAAAGCATTTTAATTTCTAGGGCTATAGTAAGAGCAGCTTCTGAGGGGTGCTAGATGAAGTTACTAGGAAAGCAACAGCAGGATTATCTTTACCCAGGGAAAAAGTATTACCTAATCACAGAAAGGTCTAAATCCAGCCCGGATGGACAGGCAGAAGGGAACAGCATCTGGTCCTACATCACAGAGAGTAGCTATCTCAGGGGCTTCTTGCACAGAAACAAAGAAACGTTTCGCTGTGGCAATGATTGTATTCAATAAATTAATATACTGAAACAGAGTCAGCTTGGGTAGGAAAGGTTCCTGTGCCATATGAGACCATTAATTCATCCCTTTAGTTGGTGGCTTTCTTTTGTTGCTGCCTTTCTTCTTGCATCATCTCAGCCAGGGAATGGGTGTGGGTGAGGAGAAAGGAAAGCCCCGTGGCTGCACCGTTGTCTGAAGGGGAAGAGGGAAGAAAGGAAAAAGGAAAATAGCTGAGCCTGTTGGGACTTCTCCATCACTGTTATCTTTTGACTCAGAGGTCATCTACCCAAATGAACAAAGCCTGTTGCAGGGGCCTATTCCTGCAACTGCAGATTCCATCCATGAACTTGTGCAATTTGTTAAAAACCTCTGTATCCAACATATTCTGTTTGTAAAATGAAGGTAGGAGGTGCTGTCCTTTAGAAAGAATTTTCAAAACTTCATATGAAAAGTACTTAGCTGTATGTCTCATTCTTACCCTTGCAGCTGTCCTGCCCAATTTATTTCTTCCTGGAGAAAGTGGGCTCTACAAAATAAGATAATACATTTTCTTGGCTGTGTTCCTCTAACACATGAATACATTCCCCAGCTCCACTTAACATTGTAGCAGACAAGCAGAAGACATTGTTTGCAAAGTATTTTTGTCTTAGACATGCGAAGGAAATTAATTGCTTTTCCATACAGTCCTTTAGTCAACAGTGAGCTCATGCACATTATTGAAACCACACCCCTTCATCATATACATATATCATATTTTATCTATATTTTATCTATCTGCACTTCAGCAGCCCACTCTAAAACCTTTCAAGAGTCACAGATTTTGACTGGCTTTGGATTAGACCATAGATATCTTAGCTCTCTTATAGGCACTCAACTGCATGAATTTCCATTATTATCTGAAAACAAGAGCCTCACTTAGAAATGGGGAAAATTTTCATGCCTTATTCTCTAGTTCTGTTCGCCAGACCCATGCACATTTGCCCACAAAGAGCAGGTGCCACACATCACCCCAAATATACAGTGCCCACCTGTTTTAAGCCCTTCTAGCAAAATATTGTTAAGAGGCAACATAAAAAATAGTCAAGAAGAATTCTCTACAGCTCATAGAGAACTCCACTGGTCTTACTAAATCCAGAGACCAACTTACTTGTACTTGAGCATCCACATCTGGTACCTGATTGGCAAATGAGGTCTAAATCCAGCAACTGGGAAATGGTGGATAGTGATGAGCTGTTCCATATCGCACAGAAGCATTCCAAGAAGGAAACTGCAGAGAACTGAACAGGACAGGGGTTACAAAGCCCATCTCTCAGTCTCATCATATAACGTGCTCTGGATATCACAGTCTTGATACAAGCACTCTACTATACTGCAATGGGCACACACTGAATTCTCCTAAGACTTCAGTCCCATCAACACATGATGAAAGCAACAAATTTCCCTGGAAATCAATACACATAAATAGCTGCCTGTGGTTAACAAGGCTGCCACAGCTCCTTGCACCTCAATGAAGAATAATTTTTTCTGCAAGGATAGGAAATTACCAGGTGAAATATTAAAACCTTGTGCCACAGTGTGATATAAGAGATCTTTTCCAAAAAAACCAAACTTTTGCAGAGCTCATCAGCATTTCTGGAACCTGACACTCTCCAAGGGCACACACTTAAAATGCAGGCTGCCCTTGGTGAAGTGGGATGGGTAGGAAGTGTCCACAGAAAAGAAAGACTGTGATCCAAGAATTAGGCACCAATTTAACATCTACAATATTAATTAAATCCTTTTGTGGCACAGGCAGTCACAGACACCAGAATTTGTCTAACAAACTTCTCTTAAGGATGGTACTAAATTTTCTAGATTACTTTTGTTCAGTGGAGGCTCCAGGTCCAAGTAGCACTTCATGAGGATAGATCCAATCCTTCATATAATGCAGATGCTGTGGGAGAACAGCTATAGCAAAGATGAATTATCTTTTTGTTCTTTTGGAGAATGTTTGTTTCTTTTGAATGTACCTTTGAATACTTGAGGTTCCTATGTCAGTGCTAAGCATTAGCATACCCAGTAGCAAAAGATTTACAGAGGCCTGGTACACAGTGGGAAAAGAAGGTGGGTCTTGGAAGGCAAAGGATTTTTGCCCTACTGGTAAAGGCAGAACAAACCACAGCCTGCTGTGTGGAGCTGGTCTTTTGCATACCAGCTTTGGGTTTTTTAGTAAATACAGTGGAATTTCTTTCTGTAAGACCAAAGTAGAGGGGATGATCTGATAGCCTCATGGTAAACACAAAAGCAAATCACAGAGGATACCCTCTGCAAAATTGGTGGGCACATTACAAGGGCTGTGCCCTTTGCTCCCTTGCACCTCATCAATCTCTGAAGCAGCAGGCAGGGAAGGAGAACTGGGTGTGATATGCTCTTTCAGCCAGGAGAAGAGAAGGTTTATTGGGATATGGAGGTTGAAAGTGGCTGACTCACCATCCCAGCCCTCCAGCAGCTCCAACAGCCGATTACCTTCTTGGTGATGAAGCAGCCACTGCACACACGGGGAAAACACCATGACCCAGAAATGCCTGGCATCCAGAGCTGTGCATCACCCTTGCAGAACTGCTCCAGCCCCATTCCCAAACCTCCCCTCAGCTCCCAGCACCAAAAAGATTGCATCATCACAGTTTGGTGCAAACCAGATCTTCAATATTTTGGCCTGCTACTGAGGGATGTATTACTGTCAGTTCACAGACACCAGGCATTCTGAGAGCAGTTACCAAGAAGTTGACACAGGGGGAAAGCTGCCATTTTCTCTGGAGTTTAACACAAGAAAGGATTTTCTATGTTCACCTTTAGCTTTTCTGCTTTTCTTTGCTTCATTACAAAACCACATGAAGGCCAGACACAACTGCAGTTTAAGCGGCACTTGCCTATCCAATTTCTCCTGCCTATTTTTCACTTGCCTTAAATTCTAGAGATATTTTCTAAGCCTGATACAGGTTTAAAGCACAGAGAGGAGTTTGGGGAGACACTTTGTTGTTTGTTTTTCTTACTTCTTCTCTCTCTGAAAGGGGAGGAAAGGACATAGGATAAGGATGAAGCAATGGACAACTTTAGCTAAGGCAGACACAGTCCCTCTCTTACAGCTTTTACATATGTAATTGGTAACAGTGCTTGGACCTTGGACTAAAACTACAAATTTCCTCTTATTTAGCCAGTCCTTCCCACCCCCCCCCCCCCACCCAAAAGGCCCTAATCTAAATCAGATCTGGGTATTCAGGAAACATACAGGCCACTACAATGAGCAAAGTATTTGCGAGTCATCCAGAAACTCAATTTCCTTCCTAAAGGAGTAGCACAACAGGGTTTATTTTGTAAGGAGGAAAAAATTCCTTTTTGGTTGCCTACACTAAGTTTAGTGTCTCTTTGGCTGAGCCCCTCTGAAGCATCCAGGAGCTGAGGACAACCGGTTCACTTTTTAATGATTTTTTTTATCACTACCTTGCTCACTTCCAAATGTGGAAAAAAATCTAGCATCACACTGCTAACACCAAATAAAAAACTTCAGTCATTTCCACCCTCTCAATAATAAAGGGAGAAAAGTGATGATAGTAGAATTTTATTGGCTTTATTTAAACAGGCTTCTTCTCCCCCAACAATACTGTGATGCTACTATAAAACTTTTCTGACACATTACTTTAAACATTAGCACATGGACATGCCAGCTCTGCACTTCAGGAGCTACAGCTCAATGCCAAGAGCTATTAGTCACATTAAGAAGTCTCTTCACAGTACGGCAGATAGAGAGGAGAGTGTCTGAGCCCTCCTGCCATCGGTGCCACCCTGTGCCCTGTCACCCCCTCCCCAGCTGTGGCCACCTTGTACAGGGCAGCTCAGAGAGGTTTTCTGCCAGCAGCTGGGAGCATGAGAGGTTTTGGGGGGCAGGAACTTTCTTTGCCCTGGTTTTAATGTGGGTGCCACTGCAGAGCTCCATGGGGATTGCTGCAGCCAGCTGAGGACAAGTGATGAGAGAAGGGAAGAACAATGAAGTTAAGCAAACAAATGTCTCGTCTAGGTCTGGGGAACTTCTAGTCTAAATACATCCCTATCCTCCTTCGGTGTACATGTGTGTGCTGCTCCTCAGGACAAATGGGGCCTTTCTTTTCAGACCCTTTGACTTCAGCAAGGATTGCACAGCTGGGATGATGACTTGTCTCCTCTTATTAAAACCACTTCTTACAAGTGTCGGCTGCGTCTCCATGTTCCTCTGAGTCACTTCTTCAGAGGAAAGAGAAAAACAGAAAATATTTTAAGACCTAATCTATCATCTTTATGCACTTTTATCTATATTTAACCTGGTATGGGGTGACAAAAATACATCTAATTTTATTAAAAATTGTGATTTAGTAAGTAACCATTCTGGGTGATTATCTGTCTACATTTTTACCCATGTACAGGTAAAAGCAAGAGAATCTGAAACAACCAGAGCACTCCTAAGCAAAGATACAACCTAGGCAAAGCAGAATATTCCAGAAGAGACAGAGAGGGAGGCAGCATCCAGAGGGAATCAAAAAACCACATATATGACTGAAGAAAAGTCTTAATCATACCCATAAAAATAGTAATATCAGTGGGTTGCTTTTTGTTTGTTTCTTTTACTTTAGCATTTAAAACAAGCACATTCTCCTGCTGATCTCAGGCAGTGCCAGTTTGTAACATAACACACATGCTGAAATACAAGATGGAGAATGTGTACACACACTGCATAAGAGAAGCCACAATCTGCAAAAGTGAATGTTGCATCCATATATCAATTGAAATGACCTACAATTCAGGGAGTAATCGTTTTGAAACAGTCTCACATGAATTCACCTTCACAAGATTAGAGGCTGATGTCACCAGGAGGGTGAAGTCATCAGCAATGACTTAAGCTAATGGGAAAATGCCAGAAAAACTCGATCAGTCTGTTGAGAAGAGCTTAACCTCTTCCAAGCAACAAGGAATGCTGAGAACTATTTACCTCTTTTGTTTGCAGCATTTCCTGAGTGGGTTTTAGCACAGGAAAGCTCACAGTTGACTAATGGGGACAGGGAATGAAATCTCCTTCCTACCGTGTGGCTGGTGATCGCTGTTTGGAAATTTTAAAGCCATATGTCTGAATTCAAGTTGTATTTCAAGACAGAGAAAACTGGCAGTAAGCTGTGGGGATAATTTTGTGATGTATAGTCAATTCCAGCAACACTAACTCATGGGAGTAGTTCCTGCTCCTTTTAGGAGGTCACTGACACAGCGGGATTCGGCAAGGGGACTTGGGCTCAGCTCTACATTCGTTAGAGACGAAGATTTAGAACAGAGACGTGGCCTGTGGTGACTATGGCAAGATTTTCCCAGCTATCACAAGCAACCCAAGCTGCCCATAGCCGCACATGGTGTGGCTGACAGCAGCCCATGCCAGGCAGCCGTGCCAGCTCAACACGTGTTGGGTGTCTTCCTGAGGTAACAGCCGAGCACATGATTTAGAGTCAGTGGCATTAAAAACTATTGGAGTCATCGTGGAAAGTACAGATATTTTTGTTTGACTGTGTAATGCGTGCCTGTGTGGGAGTGGTGTGAGCTTGTTCTATTTCCAGCCTGTGAATACCGAGGTGTGACAAGCCTGCTTCCCTGCTCCTTCGGCAAATGGTGCCAGCAGTGCCACTCCCTGGCGACTGCAAGGAGCTGGGGCACAGCGCAAACCAGCTGAAAGAGTGCTAAAACCAAGAGGTGGGCCTGGGCCTGGGTGCCACAAACTCACTGGCTCCTTGCACTCAGACTCGGTGCCCCAAGCAGAGCATACAGAAGGATTTGCTGGTGTGGTCAAGTGGCCTTTGCCAAGCTGGCGTGCAAGCTGCTTTTGCTCCTGACGTGGATATTCTCGATGCACACAGTCGATGTGGCACCTCAGGCAGCTCATTAACAGCACTTAAGAGAGCCCCCAAGCCCCACCTTAGCAAGCTGCAGCTCCACACACAGCTGCAGATCCCAGGTGGGCTCCAACTCTAATGAGGCCAGCTCTGCTCTGCTCTGCTCTGATTCCCTGGAAATAAGATTAGGGCTTGGCATTCTGTCTATCTGAAATGTTTTTCATGTTTTAAAGCCAAGTGTTTTCTTTAACCCCTTCCTGCTCTGCAACACTCTTATAACTGGTATACTTCATAAAGCTTGAAAGAGAAGAGCATTCTCTCACAAAACAAGTCTATGCTTTGAGTTGAAATGCTGAAGGTTAAATGTTGAAAGGTCCTCTAACAGTACACACTGGTTGAATTATAAATGTGGAGATGCACAAGTC